CTGGGTAGGGCTGGAAATTTGGCCAGAGATGGTGAGGCCTGAAAGAGTGAGGAAGGTTAGGGGGTTATAGGCTGAAGCTGGAGAGGCAGTCTGCTGTTGGTGATGCTGTTGATGACAAAGTGTAACCTCAGGGTCTAGCCCCTGGGCTCACTGCTTTCCATGAGTAAGCAAGTAAGTATGTGGCTTCCTTCCACCCGGTTCCACAGGCCACTGGGGCCCAGCAGCACCGGCAACTCCCCTATCATGTTACAGGCCCAGATGTGGCTTATAGTGCCTGTGGCTGCCAGGCCAGCTTTGTTCTTAACAGTAAATATTAAGAGAAGAGAGTACTCAAACGCAAGGGAGCCATGTGACCAGGTTCAATGTCTGCTTTCCAGAAGTGTCCAGGGGTCTGTTTGCCCCATGTGTAATAGGGAAAGAGAAGAGCTTCAGGCCACACAGACACAACAGAGAGGAGGAGGAGAGAGCGGAGTCAGGTCTGTGGGGGTGAGCACTACATGCAGCTGTGTGTCCCAACTGCCTGGTTGCTGGGAATTGCTGGCCAAGGACACAGCATCCCTATTTAATTGGAATCTTGGAATGGACTCCAGCCTGACTTGGTTTTTGGGATCAATACAACCAGCAAGGAAATCAGGCACACAGGATAGGAATCACAAGATTCATCCTTAAATATTTCTAGTATCTAGAACTGTGCCTGACACACAGTAGGTTCATGAAGAATGCTGAATGAATGAAGGCATGAATGAACACATTCACCCACAAGGGTGATCTCATTTTAGTCTGTAAAGTGGAGCTTGGGCAGGGCAGGTGTTAATTTCATTTTAGAGGTAGGAAAGCAGAGTCAGAAGAATTAAGTGACTTGTTGAGATTATTTAGCTTGGATGTGAAAGCCTCCAGGTTAGCAACTGTGACCTTTCTATAGTACTGAGCAGAATGGTCTTAGTATAGCAACCTAGAAATGCATCCTATGACTCAACGTGAATCTCCTGTTGGTTCCTGCTGATTAGAAAACAGCCCTTTGGAAAAAAAAAACCAAAAAACCAGTCCTTTGGGGGCTCCATTTCCTGGTCAAAATCTCAGGCCTAGATTCAGACATGCTACCCTTCTTCCCTGCGTGCCTCACATTTGCCTGCCTCTTAGAAGCAGCTTCTGGGAGGGAGACCCTAACTCACACCTAACTCATCAGACTGGACCTGAGATACAGAGGCAGAGTTGGTGGCTTTCCTCCTGGAATCAAGAAACGAATGATGTCATTCTCTCACTCCCTGCAGAAGCTGTAACCTAAAGGGCATTTAGGAGCCCAGTGCATAAGCCCAAGCAGTGTTTCTGGAAGGAGGTCTCCAAAGCCAATAGGAGAGTTTCCTTGAACTGAAAAATATCAACTGGTCCTTTTCTTCACAGTATTCTGTCTCTCCTGGACACTGTGAGGTATGAAGCATGAGAACAAGAGTTAGAAGATCTGAGTTCCAGTACTGGCTTTCCACCATCACTCATGTGACATCACCTCATTTTCTTGATTTGCATGCAAATAATATTCCCAGTCCATAACACAAGATCAAGGTCGTGAGTTTGATATACAGAGCACAAAATGCAATGTGTATGAACTAAACTGACATTTTGGGATTTGCTTATTGTTTATTATCCTTGTCTATGTTTTAGAAGAACAGTGGATTTTCTACTAGTTGAATCCTTTATTTAGTGTAGGGTTAGGCTCCTGTTTAAAGTATATTGAAAGTATGCTATTGTAAAAATTCAAACAAAAATTAAAGAGAGGATACAGTAGGAAGTAGCTTTATACTTTTAAAAGTGTACATATGATATACATGAAATTTATTCCCTATATACAAGTAAAAAATAAAAAGAGGAATGTTTTACATCAAAGTGCCTTTAAACACAAGAAAGTGTACAAACACAAATAGCAGAAGCTAGTGCTATTTTTTAGGACAAGAAAAAAACAATGGGGAGGATGGAAAGCCTTCAGGCTGCGTTCAAACTCTGTTCCTATTCGATTTTGATTCATTCACAGTAGAGCACCTAGATGAGCCAGACAGGTAGCAAGCAGGGAGGGTCAGATGGAAACACATAAAATGCAACCTTTGCTCTCAGAAAACGAAGTCTAGCAGGGACCACATACCGCAGGATAGACACAGAGATTTCAGAGAGTACCAACGGTCAGCAAGTAGAAAAGGAAGTTCTGTGCAGAGTTGGAGGCTCTACGATTGTTCACCCAGGTGAAGTGGGTGGGAGGATGTGGGGCTGCATAACGGTCTCTGAGCCTCTTTTTACAGGAGGAAATGAGGTCATTTCACTCTGAAAGAATCAGCATGACAGCCTCTAGCCAAGTAATCTGGAGTCATGAGAACTGCTGGGGGAGCAATGTGAATCACAGCAGGCTGCTGGGAATTTCCTAATATCTACCCTAAGAGTTTCGGGGTAAGTCCTCAGGCTGTAACCTTTCTGTTTACATTTTGTTCACGTTTATTTACAATTAATGGGCTCTCAGATCCAAATAAAACTGGCCATGGATTTCAAGAGGAAGTTGTAAGACTGTTTCTGAGACCTACAATGCTTTCCATATAGTTGTCCCCTGGGAGGCTGGTGGCTCAAGGACACAAAAAAACTAAACTTTAGAGGAGGATGGGTCACTACTTGTCTAAAGCACAATAGAAGATTTGCACATTCCCCATTCTGATTCTAGCTTCCTGAGTTCTCCTGGGTGGAACAAAAGGGCCTTTCTCCTTCCAGGCCTCTTAGCTCTTTTTCTGTCTTCCTTCTGCCCATCTCAAATGTACCCAGTCTTAAGGTGCAGGTTTGCAAGGCAGCAAAATGCTGGATGCTTATACAAAGAAATGGACCAAACTTTGGGCCCCTATTGAATTCCAGAGACTCAGTTTCCTCACTGTGGAGCCAATACTTTTGGGTGGCATCAATGTGACCCCAGGATCTAGTTTCTGACACTCGTGGACAAGAGATGGAGAGGTGACTAAATCAGAATCCCTACTAAGCTCCCCTTCCCCCACTTGTGTTAGAGATGTGTGTGTGTGTGTGTGTGTGTTTGCAGAAATGTGTGCATTCTCAGCCATGGAAGTAGGGTGGAGTTTTCATTTATACACCCTCAGATGCTTTAGAAGTCAACTTCATTTGATACACCATTGTTTTTATCTTACAGAAGCAAGGACCCATGAGGAAGTAGAATACTAAATACACATGCATTTTAGTGGCTGGGTGATACAGGGATATGTTTTTAAAAACTCAAACTGGGGCCAGAGATGTGATGTAGCTGATGTGGCAGAAGGGCATCTACTGCCTGAGTACCATTTTGAGTCCTAGCAGCACTCTGTCCTATCCAGCTCCTTGCTAATGTGCCTGGGAAAGCAATGGGAGATGGTCCAAGCAAGCGCCTTAGTCCCTGCCCCCCAGGGGGAGATTCTACTCAGAAGTGAGAACAAAACTTCCTACACAGCCATAATTTACTGTCAACATTGATAAGGTTTTATCATTCTGCTGTTTTTATCAACCAACTGTATCCTGTCCAGGCAAATAAATGAATTATTTATTATGGGAGCTTCCCAAAGACTTATCAACTCTTTTATAGGAAGTATCCATGATTTGTGCCCTAAGTCTTTGTTCCCACAATCCCTCAATATCATAACTACTAGCCTCAACTTACTTTCTTTTTTTAAAAGAATTATTTATTTTTATTACAAAGTCAGACATACAGAGAGGAGGAGAGACAGAGAGGAAGATCTTCTATCTGACGATTCACTCCCCAAGTGAGTGCAATGGCCAGTGCTGCGCTGATCTGGAGCCAGGAGCCAGGAACCTCCTCCAGGTCTCCCACATGGGTGCAGGGTCCCAAGGCTTTGGGCCATCCTCGACTGCTTTCCCAGGCCACAAGCAGGGAGCTGAATGGGAAGTGGAGCTGCTGGGATTAGAACCGGTGCCCATATGGGATCCCAGCACGTTCAAGGCGAGGACTTTAGCTGCTAGGCCACCACACCGGGCCCAGCCTCAACTTTCAAAAGTCTCCACATGGGGGAATGCACCATAAAGTAGCAAGTTAAGCCTCTGCTGGGATGCCATCATCCCATATGGGTGTCAGTTCCTCTCCAGACTTTTCTGCTTCTACTCCAGCTTCCTGCTAATGTGCTTGGGAAAGCAGGGAAGATGACCCAAGTGCTTGGGCACCTGTACCCATACACAAGACCCGGTAATTGTTCTAGGCTCTGGCAGATGGAAGCCCTCTGGCAGACGGAAGCCCTCTCTCTGTGTCTCTCCTCTCTCTGGAACTTTACAAAAAAAAATAAATATTTTTTAAAAGGAAGAAAAAAATGCCCCCATTTTCAATGACCAACCTTGAATCAAACTGCAAACTCAGGAAAGCCTAATCTTGCCTCTATTCCTCTGACATCACTATAAACTCCCTAACCTCCTGCAAGCAATCAGCTGAGCCTTGTCTTATGCACTGGTTTTGTTGGTAACGGCTGGGGACCTGAAATCCCCTGTTGGCAGGTATTTTTGTGCCTGTGTCATGGAGCGGATGTCACGTACCTTTTTCACGCTGACAGCCGTCATAGCTACAGGAGTTGTGGACTCTGCTCCTATATATTCAGGAATCTGAATCACTGGGCAGGTGGGGGCTGAAGGTGGAAAGGTTGGGGAAGAACTGATTACAAAACTGGGGAAGCCTTCAGAGTTGGGAAGGCATTTCCTGGGTGCCTTTTCTCTGCCAACTCGGAGCGCCCTGCTCTGGAGCGGGCGCTGGGCTATGCGATTGGGAAGCAGAGTGGAGACTTTATACCAGAGCCCTCGTTCAGACTCTCCTAGTCTCCTTCGCTCGCTCTTTGTTAAAGTTTTTGAAAGTGCACCGGGTCCAGGTCGCCGTAATCCGCAGGGAAAGAAGAGGGCGGGGAAGTAAGGCTGATGATTATGGCTGGGGCGGGGCTGCGGCTGGGGCGGATCTTCAAATACTGCCGGCGTTCCTTGGCCATCCGCAGAACGCGGAATCTGGAGCCCTGGTTCCCTCCTGAGAGTCCGCCTTTATCCGCAGCACTGGTCCACGTCCTCCAGCCACAGCCACTGGTGAGCACCGGATAGGCCGAAGAGCACCCAGCGTGATGCACTGGGGCCCTGGCTCCCGGGAACCTCCCTTCCCCCTACTACGGGCTGCCCTGACTGTGTCCGGCTGGCAGTTGCTGCTCCCAGTCCCATGTGTGTCCAGGCGGGTTCAGGTCTAGACTAGGAGCCCCCAGACAGGAGAGATGGCAGGGTTTGGGGAGCCTGGTCACTGTGGGCTCGGCCTGCAGGAATTCGGGCTCTTCTGTGCTGCAGTAACCCACCCGGGCTGCCTTTTGGCTTCTCAGCTTCTTGCCCTGACTTCTCCTTCCATTGCAGAACCGCCGTCTGGAGCCTTTACCTCATCACCATGAGACTCCTGCTGGTATGCCTGCTCAGCAGCACCCTGATTGTGAGCGACTCGGAAGTGAGTGCCTTTTCTGCTTTGTCTTTGGCCGCAGAAGGGGATTTGCAGGACCCCCGAGAGAGCCAGAGGAAAGGAGGGGTTGCATGGGGCGTGGAGTCGTCTGGATTCCATTACCATCCTAGCCAGACTCCTTGGAGGGAGCAGGACAGGTGTGGCAATGGGAGCCTTAAGAACCAAGGGACCTTGTGCTGTGGGCAAGGACATAACGATGCACAGGGACTGTTCCAGTGTGCGAGCGCCTGGTATGTGTAGCTCGCGTGGCTCAGTCCCTTTTGCCCTGCTGGAAATGCATGATGTTTCATTTGGAGGTTGGTTAGATATGAACAGGGCGAGGGGAGAGGGAGCTGGATGGAAGAGTGGACATGGGAATAGAGTCAGTTTATCCTCATCCTGGACTCTCGGGAGCATGATACCTTTGGTGACCTGTCCTTCTCTCCCCCCGCCAACCTCTTCCAGGGAAGCAATGAACTTCACCGAGTGTCTGATGCTTGTAAGTATCCACCCCTTGCACAGCAGCTAGCTGCACACACATCTTGGAGAAGCCTTAGAGGGCAGCTGCTCCCTCTCCTTGGCTGCTGGATGCTGCCCTTCCCAACCCTCTCTGCCTCCCCTTTGCTCCAAGCTCCTTGCTTACCCTACCTTTGTACTCTCCAGCACACTGCAGCTGTCTGAATGGAGGAAAATGTGTGTTCTACAAGTACTTCTCCAACATCTGGCGGTGTGACTGTCCAAAGAATTTCCAAGGAGAGCACTGTGAGATAGGTATGGGCATCCTGGCTCTAACCTGGAAGAGGGGGCACAAGAGATTCTGGGGCAGTGAGAAATGGGTGGGATGCAAGAGCAGGCAGGGGTTAGGAGCCAGAGAAAGGTTGGGTGACATCTTCCTCCTGATGTGGTTGGTACATACAGCTAAACATAAACACAAGTGCAAAGAATTTCACGAAGCAGTGGCTGCACCAATGGGGGCTGGGGATGGAAGGAGATGGTTTGTAGTGTATTCTGCCTCATCTAAAACTTTTTTTATCTGTAAAATGTCTACCACAAATATTCCCCTCTTCTAACATTCTCTTGTCCTCATATTCTGTAGATAAACTAGAAACCTGCTATCACGGGAATGGCCACTCTTATCGAGGAAAAGCCAATACTGACATCATGGGCCGGCATTGCCTGGACTGGAACTCTCATGCTGTCCTAAAGAAAACATACAATGCCCAGAGTTCTAATGCCCTTCATCTGGGCTTGGGGAAGCATAATTACTGCAGGTGAGAGAATGGGTAGTAAGAACCAGGAGCCCTCCCTATAGCTTCACAATAGCTCTTATTACCAACACCCTATACTCCCATAGTGCCAGTCAGGGTATGAGAAATGTGAGGTTTTTGGTTGAATTTTTGCTGGAGAGGAGGATGCAGGGAAGACATTCTGGGTTGGAATGACTTTCCCTGCCTCTCTGTGTTGCCAGGAATCCAGACCACCAGAGGAGGCCCTGGTGCTACGTGCAGGTGGGCCTACGCGTGCTTGTCCAAGAGTGCAAGGTGCAAGAGTGCTCTGTTGGTGAGTTCACTGACCAGTGGAGTGCAAGAGGACGAATTCATGTGTCCTCTTCTTCCATTGCAGAAGGGGTGAGGAGGGAGGTCTGCCTGAGTGGGCTGTTTTTGCCTACCTGCCTTCCCTAAGACACCTCTCTCTTTCTCCTTCAGGAAAAAGGCCTACCCCTACTCCCAGTAAGCTGGAGTTTCAGTGCGGCCAGAAGGCTCTGAGGCCCCGCTTTAAGATTGTTGGGGGAGAATTCGCCACTATTGAGAACCAGCCTTGGTTTGCAGCCATCTACAGGAAGCACCGGGGAAGCAATGACACTTACTTGTGTGGTGGCAGTCTCATCAGTCCTTGCTGGGTGGTCAGTGCCACACATTGCTTCATGTAGGTCCCTCTCTTTTCTCTCTGACCCTCCTCCTCTGCCACCCTCAAACACATCCCTTCCTTTTTTTTTTCCCAGAAAAGGGGTCTACTGCAATTGTTTCTCATTCACTCCATGTGGCCCTGGCCTTGGGGACAAGTCATGCTTTGTAGCCACTATCATGGGGGGCAGGAATTGATAGGGACTCATGGGATCAGGTTTTTCTGACAAGTCTCACCTCCCACAGCAATAACCCAAAGAAGGAGAACTATGTTGTCTACCTGGGTCGGTCCAGGATCAACTCCATGACACCTGGGGAAATGAAGTTTGAAGTGAAGCGACTCATCTTGCATGAAGGCTATAGTGCTGATTCGCTGGCTCACCACCACGATATTGGTGAGTGGAAAGCTCTCATCTACCCTGATAATGATGGCTGGGGAAAGAGCATCCAAAGGACCTAATGGGAGGCTCAAATTGGTGGGGGCGGGGAAAGGACACTTTAAAACCACCGCTTTACACAACAAGGGGAGCAGTGGGAAGATGTGAGAGAGAAATAGACAAGAACCACAGTGCTCTTCTATAAAGACCGTGAACTTCCCCCAACAGGTGCCTCTATTGAGTGGAAATAGCTCTATCAGCATACGGTTTGGGCTAGGAATGTCTTGTTCTTGCAAATTACAAGAAAGTGTTCTTACTGTCATTGCCTGTAGCCTTATGTAGATACAGAATTTAGAAAGTAGGATCTTGGGTTGGATTTTAGTCCAATTTCCTCAGCTAGGGCTTTCTGCAGGAAACAACCTGTATAGCTGTGCCCAGAATCCCTGGCTGCCCACACCTTTGTCAGCACCTGCGACATAAATCCTTAGGGCACGGGAGGCTTCCAAGTGACAAGCTGTCAGCTCAACTCTTTGTGACCATGACTGACCAAGGGGTAGACAAAGCTACTTCCTTAGTGTTTGCAGGGGAGAGATGGAGACCACCTAAATTGATGGTGATCTTTTTCCTCTGACTGCTCTACCTACAGCCTTGCTGAAGATACTTTCCAGCACCGGCCAGTGTGCAGAACCTTCCCGGTCCATACAAACCATTTGCTTGCCCCCATCGCGTGGCGATGTCAACTTTGGCTCAAGCTGTGAGATTGCTGGCTTTGGAAAAGAGAATTCCAGTAAGTAACATTTGAAGCTTACTGAAGAGGGTCTTTGGGGGAGTACTGTGACCTGGGAATGACCTGATAATAAATGAAGACTGTGGAAATGGAGATGGTAGCACTAGAGAGGCAGCAGGTGGGCCCAAGAATGGAGGTGGGAGTGTTATCAAGAGTGACAGGCCGCAAACACAAGCAGATGGGAGGCTGTGGGAAGGGTAAATGCTCAATTTTAAAAAGACTAAGAGCTTTTCTGATAGGGACACTGGTTCCCTTCTCTGGAGGACAGTCCAGTGGGCAGCCCCAACACAAACTTCCCCCATTTTCTCCATCCAGTTGACTACATGTTTCCAGAGAGGCTGAAAATGGCTGTTGTGAAGCTGCTTTCCTACGAGGAGTGCCAGCAGCCCCATTACTATGGCTCTGAAGTCACCACCAAAATGTTGTGTGCTGCTGGCACAAACTGGGAAACAGATTCTTGTCAGGTCAGTGTTCTATGCATCTCTATCCTTTTTAGAGCTACTGGGTCTGTCTCTGCCAACTATAGGGAGTTTCTCTCAAGCCAGTGCCCCAAGAGGTAAGAATCAGGAACTCAAGTCTTTGGAGAATCCAAACCAATCTTAATGTGTTTCCTAAACATTTGTCATGAGCCTGGATCGATGCTAGCACTTCAGATTAGTATGCAAATCTCTCTCTCTTTTAAAAAAATTATTTTTATTGGAAAGGCAGATACATAGAAGAGAAGAGACAGAGAGGAAGATCTTCCGTTTGATGATTCACTCGTTAAGCAGCCTCAATGGCTGGAGCTGAGCCAATCCAAAGCCAGGGGAGCTTCTTCCAGATCTCCCGCACGGGTGCAGGGTCCCAAAGCTTTGGGCCGTCCTCAACTGCTTTCCCAGGCCACAAGCAGGGAGCTGGATGGGAAGTGGAGCTGCCGGAATTAGAACTGGCGCCCACATGGGATTCCGGAATATTCAAGGTGAGGACTTCAGCTGTTACACTATCACACCAGGCCCACAAATCTCTTTTAAGATCATAGATAGAAGAGATAGTAGAAGACAGTATAACTCAAAATTCAGAGCACAATATGAACTGGAAAAAATGTTTAGGAGATAGAGGTGAGTGTCAACCAGATAGTTGGGGAGGGGAGCCTTTGAAAAGGATGTAACTTGATAGGGAGTTAAGGAGGTAGAGAGAAGGAAGGAAACTTTCTTTTGGTTGAAAAACTGAGAATGAACATAGCATATGTCAAATTGGGGGAACAGTAGGGTCTGGGAGTATGGATAGAAAGGTTGCAGGTAACAGGGCTTTGAAAACGTTTTAACAGAGGACTTTAAACTTGTAGTAGCAATGAAAGTCACCATGGCCTTTGGCTCCCTCATTTCTCAGACATACTTGGGTAATGGGATCTGAAGGCATCCTCCTTGCACTTTTCTTAAGGCTCGCATTTTGTGTCTTTGGCTTTTCCAGGGAGACTCAGGAGGGCCCCTCGTCTGCTCCAAGGAAGGCCGCATGATTCTGACTGGGATTGTGAGCTGGGGCAGTGGATGTGCCGTGAAGTATAAACCAGGAGTCTACACAAGAGTTGCAGAATTTCTGCCTTGGATCCGCAGACACATTGGGGAAGAAAATGGCCTCATCCCCTGAGAACTCCAAGGGAAACCAAGGGAGGAGATGGGGACCACCCACTTCCATACTGATCGTCCTTTTGGCAGTAGGGTCATCTCCACCAGCCATAAATGAGAAAGTAGGTGGATAGGCTCTACAAAGATGGTTTTGCTTGTGCTGCCCAGCAAGACAAGTGACAGTAGCTGTATACTCAGACCCCAGCCTGGGTGCTGGCCACCCAGACTCCCCTGGCCAGAGAGAAGGGGCATTCCTAACTCAGCATGGTAGTTTGTCATTTTCTGGACTAAAGTCTCCTGGAGTTTAAAAAAAAATGGCATCTCCTATGCATAGGTGGAAAGATTGCTAGCTCCCTCAACAATGGTCATTCATGAGGCCCACTTTTGGGAAATGAATCATTTCCCCGGTTAGGAAGTTGATGTCTCTTGATGGAGATTGGCCCATGTGGGAACAGCAGTCTGGGGAGTGGAGATACTGATGACTAAGGAAGGGTTCTGATATTCCATAACTGTATCAGGAATTACTATATCAGAATATGTTTGTGCTTTGATGTATGGCCCACAAATGTTAAGTGTGAGCAAGAGCTTGTGTATTCCTGTATCTGGCAATAAGTATAGATATTTCCTTAAAATGTGTGATACCACAAAGAGGGTCTGCTTGTAAAATGTGTGATACCACAAAGAGGGTCAACTCAGGTCTCTTTGGTCTCTCACATGATGATGCCTGTGAATGTATCATTCTGAGGTTCAACCTAGGACCAGCATGAAATGTTACCATTTCATTTCACGTGGATTCCCTTTCTTGGCCAGTTACTCATCAGCCTAATTTATCTAATCTCACTGGGTGGGATGAGGACCACTCCTGTACACTGAATATTTAATAATTATATTCTACTATTTTAATTTATATCTATTTTTGTAACTCTGAATAAAGACAATAAAACTTGATTTTTCTGAAGACTTTGGTTTCTCCTTGATGTATGTAGGCGAGGGAATTGGAGAGCATAAAAAGTAAATTATGAAAAAAAAATTTAAAAAAAGAGTAAATTATGGGGCTGGTATGATGACTTAATTAACTAATTCTCTGCCTGCAAGTGCCAGTATCCCATATGGTCGCTGGCTCATGTCTGGTTGCTCCAACTCCCATCCAAGCTCCCTGATTGTGGTCTGGGAAAACAGTGGAGGATGGCCTAAAGCCTTGAGATCTTGTATCTGCATGGAAGATCCAGAGAGGGGTCCTGGCTCCCGGATTGGGATGACCTCAGCTTCAGCAGTTATGGTCATTTGGGGAGTGAACCAGTGGGTGTAAGATCTTTCTCTATGTGTCTCCTTCTTTCTATAAATCTGTCTTTCCAATTAAAAAAAAATTTTTTTTAAAGTAAACAATAAAGGTGACGTGCTCCTCAGAGTTCTTTATGGGGCTACATCTCTGGGCTTAAGGGGGCTGTTGGAAGTAGATTAGGAGTTGAAGGTAAGAACTTTTATGATACAGAAGATATAAAAGGTGATCCAAGCCAGGGTCCCATGGTTTGGGAAGTGGTATACAGGCTAATTCCAGTTTCTAGTTACTTCCTTGGCCTGATGACTTTGTGTAGTACACTTTTTATATAATTGTGCACATTGGTCCTCTTAAAAGTTAACTCTCCCACATTCTTGTTTCTTTGCCCTCTTAAACTGACCTCAGTCAAGAACATTTGCATGAATAAAAACTTTTGATGCAAAACCCCGGTTCCAGTTTGTTGCATTCAAGGAACAGAAAACATAACTTCCTGTCATATGCATGTGTGGCTTGTGCTGAATTATTTCAGGGTATTAGGGAATTCATGACCAGTAATTGCTGTCCCACAAGATCAGAATATAAAACTGGATGAGGTCCTAATAAGGATAAACATACATGAGGGCTTTTTGAAAAGCTCACACAAAATGTGTATTACAACTATACCTCATGGATTTTAATATTTTTTGCACCAAAATAAACATTTTTTATTTTTTACTTTTTGAGCTTTCAGAAATACTCTCATATTTTGAACCAAACAGCAGATGCTGAAGAGCAGATCTATAAGGCAGACTGGGAGATAGAGCTTATTGCCAAAAGGTTGGAATTTCCAAATTGTGTTAATGGGTTTTGGCAGTATTTTTGAACGAGTCACCTGAGAACTTTATATATCCACACCTTTGCCCCACCTGTAGAGATTGTGATTCAAGTCAGGTCTGTGCCAGGGCTCGGGACTTGATGAAAGTGCCCAAGGCAAGTCTGATAGGCTCTACTGACTCAGAACATTTGGGCACCAATTGGTTAGAACACGTGAAGGGCAGGCACTCTGCAGGGACAGCCAATTCTCTGAGTGGAGCTGGGGTTACAATGACTTGTGGGCTCTCTGTGTGTTCAGAGGATCCCAAGGTCAAAAACTCTGAGTAATCATATTTGGGTCCTCATAATCCAGCATGCTGTTTTGCATAGAGCACTGCAGCAATTCAGCTTTTAGAGTCAGATGGCCTGGACCAGAATTCTGTCTGTAACACTAGCTGTGTGACTTGTGATAGAATATCAGCTTCTCTGCGCTGTATTTTCCTCATCTGTCAAAAAGAGACGACATCCACCTCCCAGGGTTATTATAAGAATTAATGAATTCATGGACCCAGGGCAATGGCTTAATTGGCTGATCCCACCTGCAAGTGCCAACATCGTATAATGGCATATATTTGTGTCCTGGCGGCTCCAATTCCCATCTAGTTCTCTGCTTGTGGCCTGGAAAAGTGGTGGAGAATGACCCACAGGCTTGGGACCTTGTATTCATGTGGGAGACCCAGAAGAGGTTCCTGGCTCCTGCCTTTGACTGGGCTTTGCTCTGGCTGTTGCAGCCATTTTGGGGTGAACCAGTGAATAGAAGATCTTTCTCTCTGCCTCTCCTTTTCTCTGTAACTTTGCCTTTCCAGTAAAATAAATAAATGTATTTTATTACAATAAAATAAATAAACGTATTTTATTTTATTTTATTGGAAAGGCAGATTTATGTAGAGCAAGAGAGACAGACAGCAAGATCTTATGTCTTAAGGTTCATTCCCCAAATGGGTCCAATGGCCAGAGCTGAGCTGATTTGAAGCCAGGAGCCAGGAGTTCTTCCCAGGTCTCCCATGTAGGTACAGGGTCCCAAGGCTTTCCCAGGTCACAAGCAGGAAACATGGACCTGAATGGGAAGTGGAGCAGCCAGGACATGAACTGCTACCCATATGGAATCCTGGCTCTTGCAAGGTGAAGATTTAGCCATTGAGACATTGTGCCAGGCCCATAAACAATTTCTTTTTTTAAAGAACTCATGAGTTCATAATTCTCCAGGTATAATCCTGGTAGCAAATAAAAGCAGAAAATCAGCAGCTATCATCACAGAGCTAAGTAAATTCTGGTAGATTCAAATAGGAAATCCCTCCTTACACCACAGGACTACACCCAGTGCTTTGTGAGAGCATACACTTGTTAGGAAAGAAAGGGCATGATTTGAAGCTAAGAGTACCAGCCCAAGGTGAGTTGCAGCTCAGCCTCTGCACTCCCCTGCCAAGGGCCAAGAAGGATCTTGTTTAAACTTGAGCACTAGGGCTCAGAGACACTGAAAACAGGAAATATGGGCCCCACTAGGAGGGTTGAGCAAGCAGTGCTACCAGTCTTCCGACTATTTCCCAGCCACCAACCTGACCCTCCAGTCAGCTGCTGTCTCTTTCTGACTCTTAGAGCTCCCTCAGGGGGTAGGGGAGGGAGGTCAGGGAGGGAATAAGCATCTGCTACTTATCCAGAAACTCTTATCATGGCTCCAGATGTTCACTTTGGGGACTGCCTTCTAGCACTTGATGTGACTAAGCACTGCTCTAAGTTCTTCACTTGCCTGATTGAATTCCTCCAAAGTCCTATAAGGAAGGGACCTGTGCTGTTATTAGCCTAATTTTACAGGAGAGAAAAATGGAGGCACAAGGTTGAGGCACCTGCACAAGACAATGCCATTGCAATGCAAACGTCCAGAATTCAAGCTGTGTCCAGCACTTGGTGATCAGTCTGTTCGTAGAGCCATGAGTGCTGCAAAGAGAGCAGCCCTCCTCACAAACTTCCTGTTTCAGGGATGCTGCACTTTAGGCAAAGGGTGTCAGCATGTCAACCTTCTCCTGAACAATGGCTATTTTAAGATTTCCAGGCCATGTGTGGAAATCATCTTGAGTGTCAGTTTCAAAGTTCAACTTCACCCTTTCAAGCTAACCTCAGCGTTTTTTGCTGAAATCTGGTTTCATTGAAGTGGTTTCCGTTTTCACCAGAAGTCTTCCTTCTGAAATATTTTGCAGCCCATTTTAATACCAGAACTCAACTTGATTTCAGTGTATGCTTTACCTTTTCCATGTGTTAGCCCTTATGTTAACTACCCACTCCATCTACCCTCCCATGCTCGCCTCCCCCCCTACTGATTGCTTACCCTTTCTTTTCCAGCAGCAAACATTTGAGTCCTCCCCCCTTGAACCAGACATTAGGAGAAGAGTGGCTGACATGTTTTAAAAATAATAATTTGGTTGAAGTAAAATTGATACATTTCACCCATTTAAAAGTGCAGAGCCTGATAGTTCTTTAGCCTATTCAGAGTTGAGCAACATTATAGCTATTTCAGAACATTTTCATCACATCACAAATAAACCCCATGCTAGCTGTCATTCCCTTTCTTTCTTCAAATCTTTCAGCCCTAGGCAATCCCTAATATCTTTTATGTCTCTATGCATTTGTCAATTCTGGACATTTCATATAAATAGAATTATATAATATGTAATCCTATGTGACTTGCCTTTTGTCCTTAGCATGAAAATGTCAAGTTTCATCTATATTGTACAATGTGAGTACTGCCATTGAGTTTAAAATAGCAAATTACCAGCTGTCATTCTAAATCAAGACACCACTTTGGCAGCTCTACTTCCAATCCACTTGCCTGCTAGTATGCCTAGGAAAGCAACGAAAACTACCTGAATGCTTGTGCCCCTGTTACCCATAGGAGAGATCCAGATGGAGTTCTGGCTTCCTGCTCCTGCCCTGGCCCAGCAATGGCCAATGAAGAGGCCATTTTTTTCTGTCTCTCTGATTTGTAAAGAAATAAAATATGTATTTAAAAATAACAGATGGGGAGAAAAGATTAACTAGACCCTTCAGACCTTGCAGTTGCACTGAGAAACCATTCAACAACATTTCTTAGTTTATTTACAATACCCATACACTATCCATTCTTTTAAATGCTGGTAATACAAGAATAAATGAGACAGTCCTAGTCTTCAAGGAGCTCATTACTTTGTAAAGGAAACACAATCATGACCATGATACAATGTGATAAGTGCTATCATAAAAGTATGCATAAAATGCATGAAACAAAAAGCAGATGTTTGGTCTCATGATTAAGGTGACAATTAAGACACCTGCCTCCCACATTAGAAAGCCTGGGTTTGATGTCTACCTCCAGCTCCTGACTCCAGCTTGCTACTAAGGCAGATGCTGGGAGACAGCAGGTAATAGCTCAGCTGATTGGGTTCCTGTCATACAGGTAGGAGAACTGGATTGAATTCCTAATTTCTGTTTTCCACTTGGCCCAGTCCAACTCAGGTTGTTTTAAGCATGTGGGGGAAAGAACCAACAATGGGAGATCTCTCTCTATTCCCTTGATTCTACCTATCTCTCTATTGCTCTGCCTCTACAAATAAATAAATACATATCTTTGGAAAAGACTGAGTAAAAGAGGCTGAGATTTCAAAGGAAACCCAACAAGCCAGAAATGTTATTAATGGCTATGCTGTTATGAGAATGTTACTTTTATAGTTACTATTACAAATGGGTAAATATTTATAGTTAATGGGATTGAAACAATTTTATGGCTACTTTTAAAAAAACATTTATTCATTTTTATTGGAAAGTCAGATATACAAAGAGGAGGAGAGACAGAGAGG